TTTTGACATCTCTCTCTCTCCCCTCTCTCCCTCTTTCTCCCCCTTTCTCCCTCTCTGTATCTCTCTCTGTCTCTCTCTCTCCCCCGATCTCTGTATTTCTCTCTCTCTGCTCTGGCTGCTTCTCCATCCCACACCGTCGCCCTTACCTTCTCAGGCCAGGTGAGGAGTGACTGGGAGGGGAGGGCGAGGGTGGGGCCAGCCAGTGGTGGGATCACCTGACAGAGAGCCACAGCAGAGGGCCCAAAGAGCTGCATGCAGCTCCAGAGCTGCAGGTTGCTGACCCCTGAGCTAACACAACTTTTTCACAGTCATGCATAGAACTGACTTTCTGGATTGATCCAAAAGCCACCGGCAGATCCTTTGCTGCACAAAAGCTTGGGCCAAATGTGCCCTCATGCATGAGCCAGTTTAAGAGCTAGTGCAGGGATGAAATGCTCTGAAATCTGCTACCGGTTTGCTTTGCTACCGGTTCACTTTGCGTGCACATGCACAGTGTGATCAAATGCGCACTTTGTGCTCATGCACACTGCAGGCGCTACCGCACAGCGCTGAAAAGGGAGGATTAAGAAGCCTTTTTCTAAGATAAGTAGAATGGCGGGGTGGTGAACAGCTATGCCGTGCGATTCAAATTCGCTAGAAAGCAGGATTTCCTGCTTTCTAGCGAATATAAATTGTGCGCACAGCTGATCATCGGAAATACCGGTTCACCCAAACTGGTAGCATTTTTTTTACTACCGGTTCATCTGAACTGGTAGCTTTTATTACTACCAGGTCGGGTGAACTGGTCCAAACTGGTAGCATTTCACCCCTGGTCTAGTGGTTAAGGCACTAGGCTAGAAACGAGGAGACCATGAATTCTAATCTCAGTTTAGGCCTGAAAACCAGCTTGGGTGACTTTAAGCCAGTTCTTCTCTCTTGACCCACTCTCTTTGCACTGGTAGACTGGGCTGAAGCCACGCTGGCCCGATCTTTCCTCTTTGCGCTGGGTAGACTGGGCTGAAGCCACATTGTCCTGATCTTTCCTCTTCACATTGGGTAGACCAGGACGGCCCCGCATGCCGGATCCGACCACATCATGGGCTGGATCTCGCTTGCAGGTCTTGAGTTTGACATCCTTGATCTAGATAGACTGCAAGATTTCTTCCAGTTCTACGATTCTGTGCAAAATCTATCAAGCCTTGTCTTCCTTTCATGGCAGTAGCTGTTTCTATTGCTCCGGGAAATTCATGCTTGAACTATGCCTCTGTTGACTGTCCCCTGGATTACAAATGGCCCCATTGAGTTATTGCCGTTTATGGCCATTAAAGTTTGCCGTGTGGTTGCTTGCAATTATTTAATTACAACCGGCACAAATTCTTCCCCCTCCCCTTTCCTCCTTCATTGGGCGAAATAAATCACGGTGGGGCCATGTATTCGGAAAGGATCGTTCTGCAAAAAATAAAATACCGGCAGTGTCCAGCTTTTCGTAAGTGGAAACACAAATCAAATACAGTTTGTTACATCTGTTGACAATGAGCTGCTCAGCTTGTATCGAACATTGCAGAATTGGCTTTCAACGTTCTCTTGATGTCCACGATAAGCTGATTGACGGTGGATTTCAGTTCCCTGTATTTCCTTCTCTCAACAACGATGCAAAGATTCTTGTACCGTTGAGAAAACCTAGCAGCACATCTAAGAATTCCTTGCACAGATTATAGATCTATCTGGACTTTGATGATTCAATAGAGCTTGCGCTGTTGATGTAGTTAAGTAGCATCAGAGGATGATGGGCGGCTTAGAGGAGCAAGAGAGGATTTCCCCCCCCCCAGCAACCTCAAGTTTTTCCAGTCTTGGGAATTGTGCACTGTGATGAAAGAAGGTTGCATTTCATCGCCATTGCATCGTCAGCATGGAACAAAACTGATTTTCAGCTTTTGATTGGTGTCTTCAGCCAGAGCCCCATCCCTGTGAGCAGGGGCGGGATTCAAAAATTTTAGCAACCGGTTCTCTGCCTGGTTGCTGGGTGGGCGTGGCCAAGGTTTGCGTGGCCTACTCAGGCTCCTGCACTATGGTGGGGGGTGTTTTCGCCCTCCCCAGGCTCCGGAGGCTTTCCTCGAGCCTCCGAAAGGGCGAAAACGGCCTCCCCCTGGCTCCAGAGGCCCTCCGGAGGCTGGAAATGGATCCGTTTCCAGACTTCTGGAGCTTCTGGGAGGCCCATTTTTCGCCCTCCCAGAGCCTTCACGCAGGCACTGCACTTACCTGACATCCAAAACATGCCATGTGGAGACTCCTGGGAGGGGTGGGGCAGGGTGGGCGGGGCCAGCCAGTCCTTGCAATTACCGGTTCGGTGAACCAGATGTAAAATTAGCATCCAGAATTGGTCCGAACCAGTTGAATCCCACCTCTGCATGTAAGGAGAAGGCCCTCAAATCCAACCATCCATCAGTGGTGGAAAAAAAGATTCTGAAGCCACGAGGGCATGTTTTCCTATAAAATGTAATAACAGTGTTTTTACTGTGTAAAAACTGGCATTGGCTGTGGCTGTGGGGAGAAAGACTAAACAATATACGGATATTTTCTGCACCTCTATCAGATTATTATACCAGCACTTAAGTGGAGCTAGCTTTCCCCTACAGCATGCCTGAAAAATGCACATTAATGCGAAGAGAGAATAAAGGCTGCACAGAATTAGATTTTGTTATTGTCTTTCCTGCTTCGCAAGATCTTATTCTTCCATTACTGCCTCTTCAAAACGTCACCTGGGTTGTCTTTGAGCTGATCTAAAATACAAGGCACGGCAGTTAATTGGGAAATTAAACCCAGTTTCCAGTGGGACCGTTTCTGCTGAAATCTCAACGGGTTGCTTGCACAGAGTTAAGTTCCTTTTAATTGCGTGTTGCAAGCAAGGATATGTACCAGTTTAGAAACTCATCTGTAGGAATAACTGATGACTTCAGAAACATAAATCTTGGCGTCATCGTAGTTCTAGTGATGCAGATGATGTGAGAGTTTTCTTGTGCCATGGTGGGTTCTTCTGGAGTAATTTTTTTTTTTTTAATATGCCACAGAATCACATGGAAACATTTTTTCTGGATGGTTTAACACAGTCACTTCCAATCTTTTTGGAGGAATTCAAGTGGGCCTCGATGTCAGGGTTCCAACGGATGCCCTAATTAAATCATGAGCCTTGACCAAGCTTCAAAAGAAACCCAGTCATTTATTAGGAGCTTCATGTTGGCATGTTCCAAGTGACGCCAACTCTGACCCCATGTAATTTATGACCCAATCTTGACTCTGTTTCTCCCCTCCCCCCAGGGTGTGTCATCAGTCACATTCGCCAACGGAGCAATTTCATGGGTTGTAGAAATCACTTCCCTCCAGCTGCTGTGGGTAATCCTGGGAGACTGCCTTGAGAGAGATATGTCTGGAATGTGCTTTTGTTTTTGGCTGCCGTGCTGCTTCGCCATTTTCCCATCCCCCTTGCCTATGGGGATGCTTTGGAAGTTGACATTGGACTTACAATCATTTGTTTAGTGACTGTTCAAAGTTACAATAGCACTGAAAAAAGTGACTTATGACCATTTTTCACACTTACAACCATCGGAGCACCCGCAGGGTCACATAATCGAAATTCAGATACTGGCAGCTGACTCCTATTTATGACAGCTGCAATGTCCCGGGGTCATGTTGATTCCCTTTTATGACTTTCTGACAAAGAAAGTCAACGGGGTAGCCAGATTCACCTAACAACCATGTTAATAACTTAACAGCTGTGGCAAGCAACGTCGTAAAAGGGGGCAAGAGTCACTTAACAATGGTCTTGTTTGGCAATGGAAATTTTGGCCTCAGTTGTGATCATAATTTGAGGGGCTACCTGTATTTACCCTCGGAATCCGAGGAGAAAATAAAAATAAAAACTGGAAGGTACCGAACAGCAAAATGCTACATTAAGAGCTGTAATTAAAACACAAAAAAGCCACTGCAGATCCATTTCACATTATAACATAAAACCTGAAGGAATGTCTCCTGAAGGAATTCTAAAGCATCCTGAGAAACAAGTTAGAAAAAGCCAACACAGTTCTAGGCTGCATAAACAGAGGGATAGAATCAAGATCACGTGAAGTGTTAATACCACTTTATAATGCCTTGGTAAGGCCACACTTGGAATATTGCATTCAGTTTTGGTCGCCACAATGTAAAAAAGATGTGGAGACTAGAAAGAGTACGGAGAAGAGCAACAAAGATGATTAGGGGACTAGAGGCTAAAACATATGAAGAACAGTTGCAGGAACTGGGTATGTCTACTTTAATGAAGAGAAGGACTAGGGAAGACATGATAGCAGTGTTCCAATATCTCAGGGGCTGCCACAAAGAAGAGGGAGTCAAGCTATTCTCCAAAGCACCTGAAGGCAGGACAAGAAGCAATGGGTGGAAATTAATCAAGGAGAGAAGCAACTTAGAACTAAGGAGAAATTTCCTGAGAGCGAGACCAATTAATCGGTGGAACAACTTGCCTCCAGAAGTTGTGAATGCTCCAACACTGGAAGTTTTTAAGAAGATGTTGGATAACCATTTGTCTGAAGTGTTGTAGGGTTTCCTGCCTAAGCAGGGGGTTGGACTAGAAGACCTCCAAAGTCCCTTCCAACTCTGTTACTCCTATTCTATTCTAAATGACTGTATTCCTGTTGATAGAAAGTAAGCATTAGGAAACTTCCTGCTCATTTAAACCCCTTCCCTCTTGGCTGCAGAAAAATAGTTAACATGGAATTTGTCCAGCTGGACTTTGGTGGTGAGAGCCCGATTCGCAGTGCTTATTTATGTAACTCCTATTTTTGTATGTGTTCCATTGGTTTAATTATTACTGTTATTGTCAAGAAATCAGGCTCCTTTAGAGAATTGAAAAAAATGACAAATCATTTGCACAGGAAGCTGGGAAAGTTATTTTCTGGGGGGGGGGCGGGCGGGGGGAATAAATGATTTGGATCGGGTTGACTTTTAATCTTGGCTTTCTGTTCCTGCAGGCCAGCCTTTCAAGTTAGACCCTAAAATGGCTCATAAAAAGTTGAAGATTTCCAATGATGGACTTCAGATGGAGAAAGACGAAAGCTCCCTGAAAAAGAGTCACACCCCCGAGAGGTTCAGTGGAACAGGCTGCTACGGGGTGACGGGGAATGTGTTCATTGACAGTGGATGCCATTACTGGGAGGTAACTCTAGGAACCTCCACTTGGTAAGTGGGCCGTGTTGGGTAAGAATGGGCTCCCCTAATGGGTTGTGTGGATAGGTCGAGGTTCTGTATTCTCTCCATTCCCCCAATCATAAAACAAAGATTCATCCAAAGAGTACACAAAACCGGTGCAATGCAAGAGATTCAAAGTCATCAGTGGTAGATCCAGTGGTACCTCTGTTTTCTATCACCCAAATGCAGGGGTGGGCTTCAAAAATTTTAGCAAGGGGTTCTCTGCCCGGTTGCTGGGTGGGCGTGGCCTAGTTGGCCTCCTGCACCGTGGTGGGGAAGGGGGAGCATTTTTGCCCTCCCCAGGCTCTGGAGCCTTTCTTCAAGCCTCCGGGAGGGCGAAACGGCCTCCCCAGGCTCCAGAGGCCATCTGGAGGCTGGAAACGGGCCCATTTCCAGTCTTCCCAAACTTCCTGAACTTCTGGTAGGCCTGTTTTTCACCCTCCCCAAGCCTCTGCAGGTGCCCTGCACTTACCTGCATCCAAAACGGGCCACGTGGGGACTCCTGGGAGGGGAGGGATGGGCAGGGCCAGCCAGGAGTGGGATTTGGGGGTTCTCCAAACTGCACAGAATCTTAGCTAGAGGTTCTCTCAAACCCCTGAGAACCCCCAGCAGCCCACCCCTGCCCAAATGTTAGAAGAGGGGTCCACAACCTATGAGCCCTAGCCCACTATTGGGCTGTGGCCTATTCGCAACAGGTCCGTGTGAGCAGCAGACCGGTGCACATGCATGCAGCCTGACTCATGTGAGCCGTGGGCAGCCCCACTCACGCAGGTGCCCGCCCTTGCAGCTCCACCCACAATTGAAGCTCTGTGCGTGCAGGCGCAGGTGCCTGTCTCTGACACAAAGCCACCCCTTCTTCTCCCTTTCCTCCCCCCTGCACCGGGCTGCCAATCCGGAAAGGTTGGGGAACGCTGTGTTAGAAGATACAGTATACTAAATTTGGAGGCGTCCTCAATTGGGCTGTAGCCATGAAAGCTGACGGGAGAAAGCATTTGGCTAGCATTTCATGGCCATGGGACTCTTGTTACTTTAGCTGTGCATGATTTGAGTATCAGTGTGATTTTTTAAAAATGACACCAAAGTAGTGGTTAATGGCTCTTCTCATAGCAATGGCTGTCTATCTATCTATCTATCTATCTATCTATCTATCTATCTATCTATCTATCATCATAACTACCCATTTTTCAGAGAGCTTTTGCTGGTGTTCAACATAATCAATATGTATCTATATCTATCTCTCTCTTACTCTATCCATCCATCCATCCATCCATCTATCTATCTATCCATCCATCCATCCATCCATCCATCCATCCATCCATCTATCAATCATAAGTACCCATATTTTTCAGAGAGCTTTTGCTGGTGTTCAACCTAATCAATAAAATTAACATTAAAATCAGAATAAATTAATATTAACACATTTTAAAATTATAAAAATAACATAAAATTTCAAAAATTTCAAATTCCAAGATTGGGGGAGGGGTTAACAGTTGGTAATGTAGATGTGTGTGTATGTGTGTGTGGGGGGGGGTTTCTCATGAGGCCAGACAGCCCCACAGTTGGGGTTTTGGAGGAAAACATCTAGTAGCTATTGAGTCTACTCAGTAATGATGTTTGTATGATGGGTTTAGTCATGATAAACCAAATTAACTCTACACTAGGCTAAAATAGAGTTGGCTACTTTGTGGTTCAGTATGTGGTGTAAATAACCCTTGAGAAATGACATAGCATTTATACAGTAGATACCTGCAGAGCCAGATTATTTCAGGACCACGGACAGCTCTTTGCATGAAAGGGTATGTTACTGTAGTTTAACTTTGAAAAAGCTGTTGTTTGTGTTGGCCTTTGACCACAAAGGTCTCAAGGAAACTGGAGGCTCTTTAACTCCTTACCTGCTGGCTGCTAGTTCAGGATAAAAGCTGTGCCCCTTTCTGAAGTCTTAAACTTTGCCAAGATTAAACATAAAATATTTAAACATCTAAAATATCTAAAAAATGTGAAGAACGATTGCAGGAATTAGATATGTCTAGCCTAATGAAAAGAAGAACCAGGGGTGACATAATAGCAGTGGTCCAATTTTTGAAGGGATGCCAGAAAGAAGAGGGAGTCAACCTATTCTCCAAAGCACCAGAAGGTAGAACAAGAAGCAAAACTAATCAAGGAAAGAACCAATGTAGGACAAAGAAGGAATTTCCTAATTGTTGAGAACAATTAATCAGTGGAATGACTTGCCTCCAGAAGTTGTGGGTCTCCAACACTGGAGGTTTGAAGAAGACACTGGACAACCATTTGTCTGAAATGGTATAAGGTTCCCTGCTTGAGCAAGAGTTTGGACTAGAAGACCTCCGAAGTCCCTTCCATCTCTGTTATTTTGTTGTGAAAGTGGCATACTTGGAATCTAAACTCTTTAATAATAGGATGGCTGTGCCTGGAAGCTAGATGATACAACAGGAAGTGCTGTTGAGCTCTTCTCTTGAATTGGGCAACCTAGAGCTCATTTTCCTGTAGGCCTTTTCTGGGCTCTGGAATTTAAGGATAGTTCACCACCACCCTTTGATAGCCAATATCCTCTTAAAGGTAAAGGTAAAGATTCCCCTCACCAGTGGTGGGTTGCTCCTGGTTCGCACCGGTTCTATAGAACCAGTAGTAAAACCGGCGGGAGGCTCCGCTCACTGACCCCAACGTCATCAAAATGCTTCTGCACATGCGCAGAAGCTTCTGCGCTTGTGCAGAAATGTGCGAACCGGCCGCACTGCGAACCGGTAGTAAAGGTAAGTAAAACCCACCCCTGCCCCTCGCACATATGTGCTAGTCATTCCCAATTCTAGGGGGCGGTGTTAATCTCAGTTTCAAAGCCGAAGAGCCAGCGCTGTCCGAAGACGTCTCCATGGTCATGTGGACAGCATGATTCAACACCAAAGGTGCACAGAACGCTGCTACCTTCCCACCAAAGGCGGTCCCTATTTTTTCTACTTGCATTTTTTACGTGCTTTCGAACTGCTAGGTTGGCTGAAGCTGGGATGAGTAACGGGAGCTCACCCCGTTACGCGGCACTAGGTATTCGAACCGCTGAACTGCCGACCTTTCGATCGACAAGCTCAGCGACTTAGCCACTGAGCCACCGCATCCCTATCCTCTTACAGAGTTTTTAAGGGGAAAAGGAAGCTATTGAACCCTTGTCCCGTAGAGTAACAGGAAGAATCTGTCCCACATGCACCGCCACAGAATTAGAGATTTCACTGCTAAGTAGTTTTTCAGGAAGAGCTGCTCTCTCTATTTATTTTATTCTTTTTTTTTTTTTTGGAAACTTGTGTTTCTCTGAGAGCCATTTCCATTCAGCCTCTTCCGCTGGAGGGCTTCATTTTAAAGATACGCACTGGCAGCAGCACACGGCACTGTGTGCAGTGTGTACTCTTCGCAAGGTTCATGAGCAATGCACCCACTCTCTCTGCGCTGCAGGGAAAGAGGGCAGGAATAATTGAGCTGGGCTACGGCTGCGATTCAAAGCGGCCCTCAGGCGTGTGTCATACAGAAATGCACTGATCAAAGGCACAGCGGGGACCTGCGGCTTTCGGTGGTTGCAATTGAAATGTCATCAGCCTTCCCCCCCCTCATCTCCTGCGTGCAGTAGCTGTGGTTGCCCTTCTCTAAGCCAATCTCCATTCTTCTTTTGTCTTCCTCCCACAAAGCCATGGACTTCAGATTAAAGGGAAGGCTGTTTTTGGGAGCCCACGGAGTCGGGAAGTTATTTCAAATCAGGTGTCCGTGAAAATACTTTATCAGTTCCTCGGGTCTTTCATTATGTTTTCACCGTGTTATTAGGGAAGATTAGTCTCTTTCGTTGGAAGAGCGGAGTGGCGGATCAAAGGTTGAGCTACTTTGCTTTGCAAAACAAAGCTTAGAAAGGACTCGATAAATACAAAACTTTGACTAAATGCTGAGAAGTGGTAACTCCATTTTTTGCGGTGAACTTCTTTTTTAAAAAAAACAACAGGTCTTTGGGATTCTTTTTGGACATTCAGGGCTTGCTATCCTCTTGTTACTGTAGTAGTAGTTGTAACTATGGTTGTTGTTGTTGTTGTACAACAATTGTTGTAACTATTACTAATAGTAGTAATTAGTTGTAACTAATTATTACTATTACTGTAGTAATAGTTGTAACAGTAGTTGTACAGTAATACAACTACTCCTGTAGTTATAGTTGTAACTCATGTTTCTGCTAGTAACAGTAGCAACTACCTGTTACGACTTGTAACAGGTAGTCCTCGATTTACAACTCCAATTGAACCCACAATTTCAGTTGCTAAGCAAGATAAATGTTAAGTGAATTCTGCCCCATTTTACGACCTTTCTGGCCACAGTTGTTAAGCGAATCACTGCAATTAGCCTGGCTAGGTGGCTCAGTGGCTAAGACACTGAGCTTGTCGAGCAGAGAGGTCAGCAGTTTGGCGGTTCGAATCCCTAGTATAGGTCTCCTGCGTGAGCAGGGGGTTGGACTAGGTGACCTCCAAGGTCCCATTCAACTTTGTCACCGTTAAACCTGTTAAATTGTTAAGTTAGTATCATAATTGTTGAGTGAAGTGGGCTTCCCCCATTGACTGTTTGTCAGAAGGTCACAAAACGGGAGCATGTGACGCTGCCAAGTGTCTGAATTTTGATCATGTGACTGTGGGGATGCTGCAACGGTCGTAAATGTGAACATTGGTCATAAGTGATTTTGCTCAACGCTTTGTCGTAACTTTGAACAGTCACTAAACGGATGGTTGTATGTCAAGAACTCCCTGTATTATAACAAGCATTGGCCAAGCTGCAAACTTGCCATTGCAAGTAAGGAGACAAAGAAGCAAAATAATAGGACACCCAAGGGGAAAAAACAGATGGAAAGATGGAAGAGAAAACAAGTCTAAATATGAATTCTTATCTTTTTTTTTTTATTGAAAAAGTTTTCAAATACAGATTTTTCCCCCTTTTTTCCCCCCCCTCTCCCTCCC